CGAGTCCCAGGGATGGTTATCATGCCAAAAAAAAAAAAAATCTTCGTTTTCGATAATCCATGCGTGTGCTGCGTCACATGCATATGCCTATGCTATGCCATGCCATGCCATGCTATATGCCCCCATCGTCCATCGTCGGTCAACCATCTGGCGCATGATGTTTCTGTTGGGGCGAGATCTCTAGCCTGATCGCAGATACACTCCCTCGACTGGCACCAGCCAAATGAGGAAATGAGTTTGGGAATCTTTCTGATCGGTTGACCTCAAAATGACGTTCTGCAGAATATATTTCGACTAGTCTTCGGTACCCACAACACCCGCCTCGATCGCATCTTCCCTGCGTTGGCACGGTCCACAATTTGAGGTGTCTGAGAGCAGCTGAATCGAAGATGGATCACGGGAAGAGAAAAAGAAAGGATAAAAAGAGAAGGGGAAAAAAAGTTATCAAAAAGGGAAATTTGATAGACTTGAGACATTGAAACAAAAAGGATGCAAGCTTCCGTGATTGCCAGCCAACTCCTCAACTCAACGACGACAAACCAGCAGAGCTGGTGGAGCAGCATGCAGCACCGATGCAGCCGCTTGGCTGCATCAGCACCAGCGGTGAAGAGACACTGGTTCTGTACGCTTTTTATACTGTAGCGTTTTGATGAAGCGGTTGATTGATTGATTGATTGCTTCTCGTGCCTTCAGATGCCTTACCGGTGTGGAGAGGGCTTCAGCTTCTGTCTCTTTCGTGGTGCCTCGCCGCCATTTTCAACCTCCTTTTCCTGAGACACGCTCTTCCAGCTGTCTGATCGACGTCAGAGCCAAGTCGAAGGGTAGTGGTCGTTCAATGACGTTTCCATGGGGCGCTTTCTCCAGTTGAAGTCTGGGGTTCTATCGCAACGAAATGTCCCAGGCCCAAGATCCGGTGCCCAGTCCTCGGTGTCAAATCATCCTTGTCGCATTGCATCGACCTTGACGATGCAGATGATGTGGGCGGCGGCTCAAACACACACGCGCACGTACGCACGCACGCAAACAAGGAAGCAAACTGCCTTCTGTGGACGGAATACGGGCATCGTATGGGCGAGGTGCTATCTTTGCAAATGACAACCCATGATCACGATCCTGGACGACGGCAAAGGTGTGTGGTTGTTGTGTAAGTGTGGGCAAGGAAGAGCATGGGCATGGGCATGGGCATCAATTCGGGACGATTGGGTGCTGGTACTGGCCATACCATACCTGTTCGCTGGCATTGATTCAGGCCGGTTGGTGCCCGACTGTTCTCTCGGTCCACCCATTGACCGCTCCTCGTCCTTCCGGGAAGTCCCCTGCTCCCGGCTGTCTTACCTGAGGTCATCACTACCTGATGCTGCCAGCTTGTCTTGGGCAACAACGGCCAGCGCGGCAGCGCCCAATTGGTGCCCGTGGTACCCGGGCCAAGGAAATTGCCTCGCCCAGGCCAAGCTTCTTACCCCTTCAACCACAAACATCTGGGGTAGTCCTGGGCTTGGAGAGAGAGACAGAGAGACTCTGGCAAAGGAAGAAAAAAAATCTCCATTCTCTGCCTGTCGTGTACCTTGCCTTACTTTTGCGTTTCGTAATTCCTGCTTCGTCTTCGCTTCCCAAGTACTTCTCTCTCCCAATTAGTTATCTTCCTCGGCTACCTGGTGCTGTCAGAACCCGGGCTATGATTTGATCTTCAAGCACAGGCCCTCTCCCCCCCCCTCTTCTTCTTCCCTTCGAGGCAAGCCCTGTGTCCCACTTACTCACGAGATCTCAACGGGCACCCGATGACGGTGCACTCATCGTCTTTCCTGCATCGCCAACAGACCGTCTCGGCCCTCTTCCTCCTGCCAGCTGGACTCTGGAACCCTCCAACTTTCCAACATCTTGGAGTGCTGGGAGTGAACTTGCTCTGCAAATCTTGCCAGAAACGACCTCGGTGGTTTGGCTTCGACGTGAATGGTCCCGGGTCCCGGTCCCTGTCAAACAAACTCCGCTGCTAGCGAACGAAACATCTCTTGTCGCCCACGTATCCATATTCGTACTTCCTATTCCATACCGAAGGGACACGCATGGCATTATCGCGCCCGGGATCTGCCTGCCTACCTGCCTTGACATGCAACCTAGGTTCCCCTGTTGATGCCTCACGAACGAAGATAAAATCGACACTATTCCGAGCCTCACTCAGTGCCAGCTCAATCGGCTCTCTCTCAGACACCGCTTGCTGGCTCACTAGCCCCGTGCACGACCCTCTGTGCTTCACTGCTTCTGCAAAGTCGGACCAGCTACTATTTAAACCGCTGCTCTGAACTGGACCTACCCTACCTGGCCTACCTGGACCCTTTTAGAGGACACACCGCCTAAATCACCGACAGGAAAAACCTATCTTGGTAACTACTGTTGTACCTACCCAGGAAATCGACACCTCAGGAAAAAAACCCTGGATTCCCAAAGAGTGATTGGAACCAGCTTTTTTTTCTGGGGGGGAGGGGGAGGACCCAAGTATCTCACCCCAAGGCTCCATACTGTGCAAGTTATCCATCGGATTTTAGTCGCTTTTTTTTAAATTCTTTTTTTTTTCCTTTTTTGAACCCTCAGGCCCAACTCGATTTGATTCTTCAAACTCTTGTGGGTTTCCTTTTATCAGCCACCGGTCTCGCCGAGTCCTTTCCCAAAAGATTTGCCGTTGCTACTTTACCTATCATGACCCAGGACAACGACATGAGCCAGCCCGAATTTGTTTACAGATCTCCCGCTACCATGTCCAGTGGCGCCTGGAACCCGACCCGGAGGTAGGTTACTTCAGTATCCTAGCATCCTTGCGAGATCTCATCGAGGAATTTTTGGCTGATCGATCGCTGCTAGTTCATTTGTCGAACCCCAGATGCATGGAGGTTTCGAGAATGCTTTTTACCAAACACCGAGGTAAGCCTGGGCTTACTTGGTACACTTCATCTGACAGTTACTAAAGATATTATTCTGCAGTGTCAACTATTCATCCAGTTCATATAACTTAGCTAGCGGAGTGCCCATAAGCTCCAATAGTCATAGACAGCGACCCCAGTCAATGTATCAAGCAGGCCCGTCTTACAGTACGCGGCCTCCATCTGGTTCGTACGGAAATGGAGTCATAGGCCACAACTCCCAGGCGTGGGATATTCAGGATAGGTACTCGCCGACCGATTCGGTTGACGATATCATCGCATCCCCCAATCTTTCAGACTATTCGTTGGACAGCTCAGCTACTGCTGCTCCCAACGGCAAGACGAAGCATAACCCCAAGGGAGGAAGGTCGCAACGACGTCCCTCAAACCGAGACGAGTTCGATGGCCCACATCAGTTTTTGCAGCGACCACCTCCCGATGTGATTGCTCTGCAGGAACGAGAATTGCCCCATCTGCCCACCAATCTCCACGTTCAGGAACAGGATAGTGTCCTCAGTCAGGTCAACGATCGGCTTTCGCAATGTGCATACGATTTCGTTGCCAAGTATCAGTTCCCTATTCCATTGACTCAGGATATGAGACCTGTCGAGCGGTCGCAGGATAGAGAATGGACCGAATGGGTCTATCTGCTCAAGCGGCTGGCGACGAAGCGACGCATCCCCGCTCGGGTTTTGTACAATGGACAAATCAAGCAGTTTGTCACCATATTGGAAAACTCCTTGGAGATGCGGCATGCTGCCAAGCACCAGAGCCGCCCTCTCAAGGATGACAGGAACATCCTTCAGCTGATCTCGGCCGGTCTTCAGGTGGCCAAGATCCTGAAGGATGCATCCGCCATGGACTACCTTGATAGGTTATACGTTTCCACTGAGAAGCAAATCAAAGAGCGAGCCGCCGCGCGGTATCGATCTTAAATGGATGGCTTTTCTAACTAAGACAAGTCGGCCATGATGGCTCGACGACATGATCACGTTTATATTACTTCCTGTTGCACAGGAAATGAGAACTGGCCGATCTCGGATACGGCCCCCGAGCAGAAAACAAGGATCGGACTGAAGTACCGCCTCCTGGTGAAACTTCATGACGTTAGATTGCGATATGATAATGTTTTGATGTTATGAAGCGGTTTTTGGCACGCATGCCAACCCATGGCTCATGACCAAGGAACACAGGCCCCTTGATTGGGGAGGGAAGGTCATCGCTTGGAGCTTGCCAGGAGTTTGTTTATATTTGATTTGATTTTTGCGCTTTTGCTGCTGTGATTGTTTTTTTTTTTTGTGTTTTTTTTTCTTGTTTTATATCTGCCTGCAATTTGAGCGACTTCAATTTCCCAGGTCGTTGTCGTCAGCGCTGGACTTTTCGGCGTCTCGCATGTTTTTGGTTTTCTATTTCGAGCTCTGATGGTCTTTGAATGTGCGGGATAAAGGGAATTCGGGCCAGGGGCCACATCTTCAACTAGATACTATGGTAGTCAGGGTCTGTGGTTGGGAAAGGGTACATGACAGGACATGTCTCTGTCGTGCACTTATGAATAACGTTAGGAATCAATGAGGCTATGCAAGGGGCTGGCCTTGGGCACTGCACAGGAGGCGGGATGCCGGGAGGCTGTCATAACCGTGTAGGCTTGGGAACTAGATAGCGAGTGGAAATACAAATATCCTTCGAGTTGCTGTAACGATATTTCTGCTGAGTCTCTGTGAAGCGTGGGGCTATTGCAACTATTGGGAGATGGTGGAAAGTTAGGCAATGGGGAAGAGAGATGATGCCCTATTTGTTTTCATGTCACCTTCTTTTTTCGTGACATACATAAAACTACAGCTTCCTTTGCACCGATTTGCACTTGGTCAAGAGAAAGAGATAAACTGTCAAAAATAGAAGGAGTCCTCGACGAGCGATGCATACGGATTAATTTGCATGGTTGAATTTGCCAATAACAGGCGGTCTCCAGGTTACCGCCTGGCAAGGCTCAGTTTCCGCTAGCATATTGGCTCTGTCTTGGTTCTCTGACTGAAACCCAGAGACGGCTTTTATTGGGCCCGCTCTCGATTAGACCCGCAAAAAATTAGGTTCTGGAGGGAGTCGAACCCTCGCTGCTGGAATCAAAATCCAGAGTCATGACCGTTAGACCACAGAACCTCTTCTGTGCTTGTGTGTTTCCAGAGCCAGATAATTGCATACATATAGCTCACTTCCACAGGATGTCACACAGTTTTTCTCGCCACGGAAGCCTTCAGGGTAAGTTTCAACACCAGGAAGAAGATAATTAGTTTGTGATCCAATTATCCATCTCACGGCTTTCCTTTTCCTCACTATTTTGTGCTACCAAATAATAGGTATCAATGCCTGTACTACCCCAAAAATGTGACGTATTTTGCGCGTGACTGGGTGAATTTGAGGCCGTCAAACGCCATATTCTGCATAGAAACCTAAAGTTGATACTCCTTACCCCTGTGGCTGAGTTGGATTACAGTCGCTGCCTCAAGGCCCTCCCCCCCAAACTTGTCAATTGGTTGTCGGCCATGATTTTTCCGTCGCACGACATTATAATTTATGACCATCAGGCTAACCTCATATGAGCTTATGACCAACTTATGCAATAATTATCCACACAGCAGCCCATCAAATTGGGAATAGCTCAACCTGCAGACAGCCCTGGGTGCATGTGCAATATTGATTGGTTCCCGAGTTAGTAACTTTCCAACAAGGAGCAAAGGCCTTGTCAAAACTGCTGCGACGCCCAGTCGGTCGCCAATTGGGCTTAGTGTCCCAGCCTGTCGATGGCGATGGCGAGCATTACGCCCCACGACAACCCCAAGAATGTCGACCGAGGGCGATCCGGATGAGCCTGTACATAGTATTCCTCAATTCTTTCACCGGCGGCGGGGAAAAAAATCATCTAAAACATCCAAAAGAGCCACGAGAGCTGTGCTCCGTTGCTTTTTCTCCCCTTTCCACCGTTTTCGCAAGACTGGATTGCTGACGACGAGCGGGCAAGTGTATATGGTCACTGCCACTGCAACTTGCGACCTGCGACTTTTGTGAACCTCAATATTGAGCCATACTTGCGACTCTAGATGACGGCTCCGAAATCGACGACAAGGACAATTTCGCCTGCCTCCTGCAACTAAACCATACAGGAAGTTGGTCGCATGACCAATAACTGTTCATCCTCAAGCATATACTCATCTGTCCTGGATCTCCTCCGTGCACCTGTCCTGCAACCAACACCAGACACCTAGCTACCAGTTGGCATCTGGCCATTCTTTTCATCTTGAACACCTACCAACTCGCACCTGGATTCCCAATAATACTCTATCCTACCAAGCCGAAGGGCTATAAAACAAAATGGCCTCTGTCAGTCCTCAACCATCACCTAACGGGTCCTCACCGTACGGTTTCGACTCCTCTGCCGAGACGGAAGAGTCTTGGCAGTACATCGACTATGCTGCCGGATCGACACCCTCTTCTATCGGCTTCCTGTCTGATCCTGCCAGTGGTAGCTTGAATAGCTTCACCGTCATCAGACATGTCCCTGGAAACACCCCATCACCATCGATCACATCTGCCTCCCCCCTCCTCCTTGGCGAGATGGATCAGTCCGTCTTCTTTCCAAGCAATACCGCATTTACCCTTCCCACAGACCAGCCCAGCCCAGATATCTTTGCCAACACAACAGCTCCCCCGACCACAGATGGAGGCTTTGGCCAAGTCTCGGGATTCATGACACCGCAGCAGTATCTCTTCCAACAGCAGGATCCGAGCCAAATTCCTTCCCAGGAACTAAATGGTATGCCGGTAATGCAGAGAGCGGGGTCATGCTCGTCGCGTGGTGCTGATGATGAAGCAGAATTATCACCGTTCATGACTACCTTCCAGAGTGACTTGTTTCCAGTCGCCTCAGAGAATCAGTCTCAATTTCCCCAAGTCGACCTCAACATCCCTATGCCTTTCCAGGCGGATGCCAATGTCCCGCCATGGAATCCGACAAACCCTCGAGGCACTGAAACGGGCATGTTCATCATGGATGACTTCAGTGGCTCGTCTCCGAAAAGTGTGAACTCTCATACCAGCTCCTCTCCTAGCGCAAGTTCTGGCCGCAGCAGGTCACCCACAGACCAGATCCGCAAGGTCAAGACTGGTAAAATCGAGAGAAAAAAGACTGAACAGTCTGGAAAATTTGTCATTGTCACACCCACTTCCATCTCTGCCCATGCTGGTCGACCCAACCCTTTCGAGTGTTTTGAAGCGATGCGAACCAGCCAGCGAGGACGAAAGGGACCGCTGGCCAACGCTGTTAAGGAAAATGCACTACAAGTTCGACGACTTGGTGCCTGTTTTTGCTGCCACAGCCGAAAGGTCAAATGTGACAAGGAGAGACCCTGCAAAAGCTGCAAGAAGCTCATGATTCAGGTACCCCAGGTTGTATGCTGGCAGTTTGCAGATTTCATCCCTATCCTGTTTCCCGATTTCATTCGTGGCCATTTCCGCAAGGAGGAGATGACCAAATTCATTGGCGACCACGTCGAAGGATTTGTCCTGAGGGGAGTCGAGCAGACCTGTTCCGTAGAGCTGTTCTCTGGTCCTCTTTTTTCCACAGTGCTGGCTGTCGAAGCCAAGTTTTTCACTCCGAAGGGCGTGGAGGCTGTACAGCACTGGCATCTCAACACAGGCCAAAATAGAATCAAACTCCGAGCCGAAAACTCAGCGGCCATCGGACTCGAGTTTAAGGACTCTTCCGAGAGAGAAATGCTTAAGAAGCGTGCCAAGAAGTATGTCAAAGACTTGGTGGACGAGCCTGCATTCCCGGAACAAGTTACCGACTCATTCATGCACACCTTGCTGCCGAGGAGGATAATTCAGGTGGTCAAGCGCTACGCCGAAGAATCTGATTCCCCCATGGTCAAAAGGGCACTATCGATTTACGGTATGCACTACATCATGACGCGCCACCTCTGCCTCACCGTGGGCTGCCTGGACTCCCTCCAAGCCACCGGAATGATGCCAATTAACGCCAATGCCTACACTCCCCGACTGCTGGCCCGACAAATCAAGTCTGTGATTGACGAAATGATGATGCGGGAGACGCAGCAACTCTTTGAGCACTTCTCCAAGTCTCTCAAGCCCAAATCCCGAAGGGAATGGGCCCCTTGCCTGGCATCATTCCTGGTTCTCTGTCTTTTCATGGAAGCCATTGAAACGGCGGCTGACGTCTTCGTGGTGACACAAAATGAAATCGGCATCAGGGAAGGGTCTCGTTTCCAGTACGAGAGAAGTGTCGCGCTCAACACCTGCAAGGAGGTAGAGAACATGCCATTCAAGCAGTTTGCGTATCAGTTCCACCAAGTGTATCAGACACACACCAAGGAAGCCAATGCCAAGAGCTTCAACCCCTTGCTCGACGATAGTTTCATTGAGCAAGGCGAGCTAGATCAGCCCGCGATCAACTTGGTCCGGGAACTGAGGGAATTCTTTTATGGCGACCTCTGTAAGTATTCCCCCCCACACAAAATCACACCGCCGTCACGGTAAGAACGAGATTGCTGACAGGGCCATCACCACCATTAGGGCAAGATATCACGTACGTTTGCTGGGACCCTATTCCTCAGAGCGATCATGAAAAGCACCCATATCCACGGGATCCACAAATGTACTACACTGGTCGCCTCGTGGGAAGGTTCCTGATGTCTTTCAGAGATGATAAGATCATTTGGGGGGACTCTGCGTAAAATGAGTGCTGTCAGGTTGGGATGCTTTGAGACGTGGCTCAGGACGGCTCAGGACGGTTCAGGACGGTTCAGGAATAAGATGATCAAGAAGGCAACGACTTTTGTAACGGTGCAATGGTAATGCAAGTTTCGGATAGCGGCGGCGAATACGGTTCTACCCCTTGTACAAAGGCGACATGATGGGCAAGGTTATCACGGAGAATTGAGCGTTTTGATTGCATATGAATTAAGATTTGTATTTTTGTGAAGTACATACAATATACATATACATACATACATAGACAAAATCTATGCTTGCGAGACGAGATTTCACTTGGGACAGAGATAGACGAAAGCATGTTTGCCCGATTTTAGTCCTGCTATCACATTCAATTCTATGACAGCAGGGTGGAGCGGACTGGTTGTCTAGACCTTTGGATTGTTCTCCCACATCGAACGATAAAAATAAAGTTGACACGCTTGCGCATTGAAAACGCGAGGTGTAGGCAATGCGTGGGTGCCGCCGAAGCGGACTTTCGGTTTCTTGTTTGTGCACTCTCACCACTCACTCTTGTCTCACGTATGGAAACACTTGTGTCCTCGGAGGGGCGGAAAAAATGGGGATATGATGCTGCAGAGGGCCAGCTTGGGTTGCATAAAAACCAACAGCAATCAACGAAGCCAGGACCAGTCTGGTGCATCAATAGGAACTCCCTCACGTCCGCGTCCTGCCTTGTGCGTTCGCAAAAAGGTTGGTTTGGTGACAAAGGTGAGGCCAAGAATCAAGCCACTTTCGCACCGGAACCTCGAATCAGAAGCTTGGGGCGAAAGGGTAGCTAGGTGCTTGCGACACGTTCCTTTCTGACATCGGACCTGGGCATGTCGAGGCGAATGCAACTATTCGCTGAGCTGAATCAATTTGTTCCCGAGGGGAGGACAGAATTGGAAATGCCCCGGTTGTGTTTTCTTGTCATGGTGGTTGGGAGGATGAAGTCAGAAGAAGAGGTGGGAGGCAGAAATTTATAGAACGCACTAGCGGGATCAGTTTGGACAGCTCACGTGACGGAAAAGGAAGCTAATCAACCACCTCCAGGTAATTTATCTATAGCCGAGTGGACCTCCGTTGGTCTGGCTTTCTTCTCTTTTTTCTCCTTACACTATTTCATATTGCGCACCGATAAATCAACCGATTGCGACTCGCCAACTTGTCTTCGGTCAAATTGCGTGCCAGAGTGACTGGTCTCCCTTCCAAGAACGTGTTACATCGTCTTGAATGCAACGAGAATGCAACTATTCTCGCTGAGCGGCGTTGGGCTTCCGACATGATGATTATCATACGACTTTGTTAGCGGCGTAGAAAAGTTTGGCTGCCATGGTGCTGAGGCGTCCTCACAGCAGTTATTGCGTAACTACCGAAAATTCTTTTGGGTG